CTCCTCTCCCCAATCCATGGGTGGGCCAAGGGGCGGAGCCGCCGTGCCTGGCCCGCTTAGGGGAAGCGTGTCTGAAGACCCCAGCGTGCGCACCAAAAGTCGCCTCTTCTCCTGACTTTCTCTTCAGCCATTGGGACCAAGAGAGAGAGAGAGAGAGAGAGCCCTCCGGCTGGAGGTATCTCCCACCTCCGCTCCCTCCTTTGTTTTTGCGCCTACCTTCAGGAAAGGTGGGCATCTCCACCTTTGTCTCTCTCTCTCTGTCCCAATGGCTGAGGAGAAAGTCAGGAGAAAAGGTGACTTTTGGTGCACACGCCGGGGGTCTTCAGGCATGCCTCCGGACCCAAAACGGGCAAATGCAGCAAGTGTAGTTACTGGGATGTATAGTTCACCTACAATCAAAGAGCATTCTGAACTCCACCAATGATGGAATTGAACCAAATATGGCACACAGAACTCCCACGACGAAAATATATATCAATGATTGGTTGGGGGGAGGGGGGCGCCAAAATACTGTTTGCTTACCTTTGAAAATTACCTAGAGCCGCCTCTGAATATATGTAGGAAAAGCAGTAAAAAATAGCAAAACAGTAATAGTCCAAAATAGTCCATCAGATTCAAAGGGAAACAACATCAATGAGTACATAGAAATCCATGAAACTAGGCACTTGAAAACATGAAACAAGAACAGCAGGAAAATCCCATAGGCAAAATGTAAGTTTGACAAAAACTTGGTATAGGAAACTCAGAGCACTTGAAAGCAAGACCATGATAAAATAACAGTGTTGACTCGACTGAGGCAACTGACTCCCACAAATCAGCTTCTAAGGGAAACAACATCAACGAGTACATAGAAATCCATGAAACTAAGCACTTGAAACCATGAAACAAAACAGCAGGGAAATCCAATAGGCAAAATGTAAGTTTGGCAAAAACTTGGTATAGGAAACTCAGAGGACTTGGAACAAGACCATGATAAAATAACAATGTTGACTCGACTGAGGCAACTGATGCCCACAAATCATTATAGACCTTTCCCAAATTCCAAAGCTGCAAGGAAAGCATTTTTCTTGACCTTCCCATTAGATAACGGTATGTTATCTCTTTTGCTATAGCCAAACTGATTCTCAGTCTCTGAAAGTTCTGCCTCTGTTTATTTAAACTTTGCTTTCTGTCTAAGGTTTCACTCTCCCCCCCCCCACTCCCCAACCCCTCATTAACTCATGTACCTGGCAAATCAATCTCAGCATCATTCTCAGATAGTTGCTCTGAGAAAAGCGGTGAGAGGCCTCTCTCAGGAATGTGGCCTTGTGAATCTTCCTGAGACAGCTCAGGCCTCTCCTCTGAGCTTAGCTCAGACCCATGCAACGCCTCTTCTCCAAATCCAACAGACTGCGGCTCATCAACTGTAACACCATCCCTTAATTCCATATCATTGAGCAATTAAGGTGTTGTCAAACTGCGTTAATTCGACAGTATAGATGTATATCTGTTATATAACTATGAAAATATGCAATCACAACAATATCCCTCCCCCCCCAGTTAGCAGTCTCTGTGTTGTCCTTTTGGGGGAGTGATTAGCTTTGTTGTGTATCTTGATCCTGACATTTTTGCCGACTGTAGGCCTTACCCGAAGCTCCCATTTTCAACGACACGGTGGTCTTCCGGACGTCTCCTTGGATTATGACCCCCAACACGTTGCAGCCCATATCCGTTTACATCTGCAGGTAATATAAAGGAAAGACGTCCAACATGTTTTCCCGTCTCAGGTTGAACAGCAGAGGAACATACAGAAGGCCGCAATCCCGCATAATGCACTACGTCGTGTGGAATTGTGCAATATCATCAAGCCATTGCAGACACAATGAAGTTCAATTCCATAGCTGTTTCCCATCCGTTGAGTTTGGTCAATAGATCCATTGCAGACACAATGAAGTTCGTTCCTGTAGCCATTTCTCATCCGTTGAGTTTGGTCAATGGATCCATTGCAGACACAACGAAGTTCATTCCCATCTGTTGAATTTAGTCAATGGCTCCACTGCAGACACAACGAAGTTCATTCCTATCCATTGAGTTTGGTCAATGGATCCATTGCAGACACAATGAAGTTCGGTCCTATAGCAATTTCCCATCTGTTGAGTTAGGTTAACGGATCCATTTCAGACACAACAAAATTCATTCCCATCCGTTTAGTTTGGTCAATGGATCCATTGCAGACACAATGAAGTTCAATACTGTAGCCATTTCCCATCCGTTGAGTTTGTTCAATGGATCCATTGCAGACACAACGAAGTTCATTCCCATCTGTTGAGTTTAGTCAATGGATCCATTACAGACACAACGAAGTTCGTTCCTGTAGCTATTTCCCATCCGTTGAGTTTGGTCAATGGATGCACTGCAGACACAACCAAGTTCATTCCTAGCCATTGAGTTTGGTCAATTGATCCATTGCAGACAAAATTAAGTTCGATCCTACAGCTATTTCCCATCTGTTGAGTTTGGTCAACGGATCCATTGCAGACACAATGAAGTTCGTTCCTGTAGCCATTTCCCATGCGTTGAGTTTGGTCAACGGATCCATTTCAGACACAATGAAGTTCGTTCCTGTAGCCATTTCCCATGCGTTGAGTTTGGTCAAYGGATCCATTGCAGACACAAWGAAGTTCAATACTGTAGCCATTTCCCATCYRTTGAGTTTGGTCAACGGATCCATTGCAGACACAATGAAGTTCAATACTGTAGCCATTTCCCATCCGTTGAGTTTGGTCAACGGACCCATTGCAGACACAATGAAGTTCATTCCCATCCATTGAGTTTGGTCAATGGATCCATTGCAGACACAATGAAGTTTGTTCCTATATCCATTTCCCATTTGTTGGGTTTGCTCCACGTGCAAACAATAGTGTGTTTGTGAAGATTTCTGTTCAGCAATCACAATACTCCGATTGCATCCTGGATTAGAAAGAGATTGTCGCCTGTCCTTTCAATCAGGAGGCAGTTGAGCGGGAAAAGGCAGTCTCTTAAGTTATACGACGGATGCCTTTCTGCAAAATATATTTTTATGCCTCCTGCAGAACAGGTTTTATGACATCATTTGGGACTTTTATAGCCCGATCCTGTCTGCCCGCATTGCGGGGCTGGGCCCGTCTTTAAGTCCCTTTACTATCTATATATTTATTTATTGAAATATTTATACCTCGCCCTATTTTTTAAAAATAAATCTTATGGCGCCACCTGCTGCTTAATGTTCACGCACTGAATTCTGTAAAACTCATTTGTTTGGAAGGATTTGGAAATGCCTTCCGATCCAGCAATTTTTTTTGCAACGGTTGACAATAAAAATTGCTTGCAAAACAGCCATAACTGCTGATGATATAATCATATTCTAATATTTTATTACAGCTTACAAGGAGTATTTACAGTGTTTAATTAATGCAGTTTGGCACCACAATTCCTTCAGTATGTGGACAACATCCTGCAATATGTGGACAACATACTCCTAGCACAGGCATGGGCCAACTTGGGCCCTCCCTCCAGGTGTTTTGGGTTTTAACTCCCACCTTTCCTTCAGTACATGGATAACATGCTTCAATATGTGGACGATAGGCTCGTAGCACAGGCAGGGGTTTTGGACTCCAACTACCACAATTCCTTCAGTACATGGACAACATCCTTCAATATGTGGATGACATACTCCTAGCACAGGCATGGTGTTTTGGAGTCCAACTCCCACAATTCCTTCAGTACATGGACAACATCCTGCAATACGTGAACGACATACTCCTAGCACAGGCATGGGCCAACTTGGGCCCTTCCTCCAGGTGTTTTGGGCTTCAACTCCCACATTTCCTTCAGTACGTGGACAACATCCTTCCATACGTGGACGATAGGCTCATAGCACAGGCAGGGGTTTTCGACTCCAACTCCCGTAATTCCTTCAGTACATGGACAACATCCTTCAATATGTGGATATTATACTCATAGCACACGCATGGGCCAACTTGGGCCCTCCCTCCAGGTGTTCTGGACTTCCTTCAGTACCTGGATAACATGCTTCGATATGTGGACGGCATAATCATAGCACAGCCATGGGCCAACTCTGGCCCTTTCTGGTCCACATATTGAAGGATGTTGTCCATGTACTGAAGGAATTGTGGGAGTTGAAGTCCAAGACACCTGGAGAGAGGGTCCAAGTTGGCCCATGTGTGTGCTATGGGTATGTCGTCCATGTATTGAAGGATGTTGTCCATGTACTGAAGGAATTGTGAGGGTTGAAGTCCAAAACACCTGGAGGGGGAGCAGCCCACGTTGGCCCATGCTTGTATTATGAGTATGTCATCCATGTATTGAAGGATGTTGTCCATGTACTGAAGGAATTGTAGAAGTCCAAAACACCAGGAGGGAGGGCCCAAGTTGGCCCATGCTTGTGCTATGAGTATGTTGTCCACATATTGAAGAATGATGTCTATGTACTGAAGGTATTGTGGGAGTTGAAGTCCAAAACACCTGGAGGGAGGGCTCAAGTTGCCCCATGGCTGTGCTATGAGTATGTCGTCCACATATTGAAGGATGTTGTCCACATTCTGAATGAATTGTGGAAGTTGAAGTCCAAAACACCTGAAGAGCCAGTTTGCCTATGCCTGGTCTAGATGGCCTGAATCCTTTCCTCAACTCTGATTCTTCCCATTTTCGGTTGGGGTTCCTCAATGATCCCATCTTCTCCCATTCAACTCTAGTGTGCAAGACAACCATGACTTCGTGGCAGATGTGAGCAAGCTGGCCAAGAAAGCTGGCTGCCAACTGATCATCTGCCCAGAAGTGGAGAACCATGGTGACCGCTGGATCCAGGTATGAGACGCCAAGGTGTATCGATGGGCAAGCGTCCTGTCATGCCTACCTAATTAAGTAAGCAAGAGGTACAGTTGAGTCAAGTCTCCAACTTTTCCTACAAGTTTTGGTTGTTAAACCTGGGAGGAGTTAGAATTTGATTTTTTTATTACTCTATTAAGTTCCTAGTTAACTGTTCAGCTGTGTAAATCCAACTCTGTGTAAATCCTGGTGAGATTAGAGTATCTTCAAGAATTAGCTTGAGGGATAGAACACGTCCAGACCAAGGAGACAACCTGAGATGGTTGTTGTGAGAGTGAAGCCATTTCCTCGCACCTCCTGGTGCACACCTGCTCTCCCCTCCCCATTTGGAGCCCTCCCCTTGGCTGAGAGGCCGGCCAATCACAGTGGAGGAGGATTTTTGGTGCTAGGATTTGTTCTGTTTTCAGGAAGGATGAGAAGGACAGTTGAGAGATCTTCAGCCTTCTCTCTCAAAGGGGTTCCCAAGACCATCAAAAGTATAGGTTTTCTGACTGTCTTTGGTGATACCTCTGAAGTCCCCTCACAGCCCTCCTCCCAGGTGTCCCTACCCCTATGTTGAGACATGCTGGAATAGATACTAGGAGTTTTTGGAGGACACCAAGCCTCAACAGTATTTTTAGATGGCCTTCATGTCTTCCCCTCAATGATTGCTCACAAAGTTTGGTGCCCAGAGAAGGGCAACCTTTGGGCATCTTGGTTGCCCTTCCCTGGAACGTTGCAGCTTCTGAATAGGAAGAAAAGCCCATTTTTGGCCAAAAACTGACAAGATCTCCATGTAGATATAGCACTTCCATCTCCAAACTTGGGTCCTAGGAGTGTTCATATGATGGAGTCCCTCCTGAGATACATATCTTTCTTCCAGGATGAGATGGAGATTGGCTACATCCAAGCTCCCCACAAGACCTTTCCAGTTGTGTTTGATTCCCCCAGGAACCGAGAACTGAAGGATTTCCCATTCAAAGGTGTTCTGGTATGTATTTTCTACTATGGAGTCTTGGCTTTCTTGTTTCCACTGCTGTTTGAACCCAGGTCTCTGCTATGACCTAACCCTTCTTCCTTTTGCAAGGGTCCCGATTTTGGTTATGTGACCCGGGAAGCCAGGGAGAAAGATGTCTCTGGATTGGACTCCTTCGGCAACCTGGAGGTCAGCCCTCCGGTGACCGTCAAGGCCAAAAAGTACCCCTTGGGCCGGATCCTCATCGGAAGCGCCGTTCCTAGGTAAGCATTTGTATGGAAACTTGAACCCGAACTGCTACCAAATACTTTTCATATGCATGTGCCAATAATTACTCTCCACGTTATGGCGGGAGTGAGAAAGATATGGTTTTCCAGATGGATAGATAGATAGATATGTATTGATGGATGGATGAATAGATGGTTAGATGTATGGTTAGATGAATGGATGGCTAGATCAATCGATCGATATATAGATGGTTAGATGGATGGATGGATAGACAGACAGACAGATAGATGATTGGATGTGTAGGTGGATGGATAAATTGATAGATAGATGGATAGATGCTTAGATGGATGGTTGGATAAATAGATAGATGCTTAGATGGATAAATGAATGGTTAGATGGATGGTTAGTTAGATGGATGGAAGGATGGATGGATGAATAGGTGATTAGATGTATGGTTAGATGGATGGTTGGATGGATGGCTAGATAGATAGATGATTAGATATATGGAGAGATGGTTAGATGGATGGATGGATGGATGGATGGATGGATGGATGGATGGATTAGATAGATAGATAGATAGATAGATAGATAGATAGATAGATAGATAGATAGATAGATAGATAGATAGGTGGTTAGATGCATGGTTAGATAGATGGATGGATGAATAGGTGATTAGGTGTATGGTTGGATGGGTGGGTGGATGGATAGATAGATAGATAGATAGATAGATAGATAGATAGATAGATAGATAGATGATAGATAGATAGATAGATAGATAGATAGATAGATAGATAGATGGATAGATGATTAGCTGTATGGATAGATATATGGATGGATGGATGGATGGATAGATAAATGAATTGATGGTTAGATGTATGGGTAGATGGATGGATACATAGATGGATGGTTGAATGGATAGATAGATGATTAGATGTATGTATGTCTGTATGTATGTATGGATGGATAGATAAGTAGATGGTTAGATGGATGGATGGTTAGATGCATAGATAGATGATTAGATGTATGTATGTATAGATGGATAGATAAATGAATAGATGGTTAAATGTATGGGTAGATGGATGGATGCTTAGATGGATGGTTGGTTGGATGGATAGATAGATGATTAAATGTATAGATGTATGGATGGATAGAAAGGTAGCTGGTTAGCTAGATGGATGGATAGATGGATAGATAGATAGATGATTAGATATATGGATGGATGGATAGATAGATAGATAGATAAATGAATAGATGGTTAGATATATGGGTAGAAGGATGGACATCTAGATGGATGGTTGGATGGATAGATAGATTATTAGATGTATGTATGTATGGATAGATAGGTAGATGTTTAGATGGATTGACAGACAGCTGATGGACAGCCAGATGTCAGGAATGAAGAGGTATCTATGGCTTGTATAGAAACAGGAGATTCAGTAGGCCTACTGACTACACTGAATGTAGTTTTCATTACATGCAAATGGCTTTGGATATCACTAACTTGCTCTAGAGGACCAAGAAAGTGTTCTTTCCAAGCCTCCAGAGCAATTCTATGCTCAAACTATACCAGAAGGAAGTTCTGCTAGGACTTCTATTGGAGACCTGGAGAGAACGCTTATCATCATATTATGTGGAACAGATCATTTATACGGAATGAAGGGCAGGAAAAAAGAGAGAAGATTGTAATTGAATGCGACCAATCGTAAGCAACAAAGGGAAGAAATAGAGTCCAGGTGGAGGACGCTTTGTCAGGGACGACGTCATGACTTCATGGGATTTAACGATCATGGTTCTCTTTGGTTACTAGTCCCAGTGGCAAGGAGATGGTCCGGGTGGTGCGGGACTTCCTCTACGCCCAGCGAGTGCAATCTCCCATCGAGCTGTATTCCGCTTGGCTTCTCGTGGGGCACGTCGACGAGTTCGTCAGCTTCGTCCCAGCCTCTGACAGAAAGGTACGCGGTGTTTACGCATTTAAGGGCATTTAGTCTCAAGGGGGGAGTTGAACCCTGGTGCCCAGAGTCGTAGTCCATACTATAGTCCATTCTATCCGTCTTTGAATATAGACCTCGTTGGACGCAGTCGGACCTTTTTCTTGTGCCCTTTTCTTTCTCCTCCTCCTCTAATTCTTCTTCGTTCCCTTTTTCCAGGGTTTCCGCCTCCTCCTGGCCAGCCCCAGCGCCTGCTTCAAACTGCTGCGGGAGAAGGAACAGGAAGGCTATGGAAACGCCCGGATGTTTGAAGGTTATTCATATGTCATCCACATACATTAATTCAGGAGAAAGGAGGCCCTTTTCAGGATGCTTTACGTTTCCAAGAAAGGAGAGTTGGTTTAGGGAGGCCTTTGCCCTATGCATTGCTCTGGCTTCTGGTGGGATTTTGATCTCCGCCATCGGGCGCGTTGCCACCAGTCCTGTTTCTGTGCCACGTTGCAAGTATCACGGGAACCTTCCACATGGGCTGCGTGTATGCCATGCGTGGTTGAAAAATGCTAGAGATCAAAACGAAGACTAGCAAACAATTAAAAACAAATAACAATAGAACACCCAGGCTAAAACATAAATAACATCGCAAGATGATAAAAGGATGGATGGATGGATTGAGGGAAAGAAGGAAAGATGGATGGAAGGAAGGAATGAAGGATGGAAGGATGCAAGGACGGATGGATGGAAAGAAGGAAGGAAGTAGGCAAAGATGGATGGATGTATGGATGGACAGACAGATGGATGGAAGGAAGGAACGAAGGAAGGAACGAGGGAGGGAGGGAGGAAGTATGCAAGGATGGATGGAGGGAGGGAAGGAAGGAAGGATCGAAGGAAGTATGCAAAGATGGATGGATGAAGGAACGAAGGAAGGAGGGAGGGAGGGAGGGAGGGAGGGAGTATACAAGGGTGGATGGGGGAATGGAGGGAGGGAAGGAAGGAAGGATCGAAGGAAGGATGGGAGGAAGTATGCAAAGATGGATGGATGGAAGGACAGAAGGATGGATGGAACGAAGGAAGGAGGGAGGGAGGAAGGAAGGGAGGAAGTATGTAAGGAAGGATGGAGGGAAGGAAGGATGGATGGATTGAAGGAAGTATGCAAAGATGGATGGATGGATGGATGGATGGACAGAAGGATGGATGGATGGATGGAAGGAAGGGAGGAAGTATGTAAGGAAGGAGGGAGGGAGGGAAGGAAGGAAGGAAGGATGGATTGAAGGAAGTATGCAAAGATGGATGGATGGATAGAAGGACAGAAGGATGGATGGAAGGAAGGAAGGAAGGAAGGAAGGAAGGAAGGAAGGAAGGAGGGAGGGAAGGATGGATCAAAGGATGTATGCAAAGATGGATGGATGGATGGAAGGAACAAAGGAAGGAAGGGAGGGGAAGGGAGGAGAGGAGGGGGAGGGAGAGGAGGACAGGAGGGAGGGAAGGAAGGAAGGATCAAAGGAAGTATGCAAAGATGGATGGCTGGATGGATGGAAGGAAGGAAGGAACGAGGGAGGGAAGGAGGAAGTATGCAAGGAAGGATGGAGGGAGGGAGGGAAGGAAGGATGGATCGAAGGAGGTCTGCAAAGATGGATGGATGGATGGACAGAAGGATGGATGAAAGGAAGGAACGAATAAACGAACAAATGAGGGAGGGAGGAAGGAGGAAGTATGCAAGGATGGATGGAGGGAGGGAAGAAGGAAGGATCGAAGGAAGTATGCAAAGATGGATGGATGGAAGGAGGGAGAGGATGGAAGGAAGGAAGGAGGAAAGGGAGGGGGGGGGGGAGGGAGGAAGGAAGGGAAAGAAGGAAAAGAAACGGGACGAAGAAGAGAGAGAAGGAGAAAGAAAGGGAAGTAGTAAAAGCTAATTCTCCGCACCCTAACACTCCACTTTCCCCGAAGAAAATCTGACTTGGCCATAGACTGTTCCTACCAAATCAATACAGTTGGAAGATTTCTGATCTGACCTTTTTGCCACTCTATATGATCTCCAAAGCAGGTTGGAAAACTCAACTTCTCACAACTCCTCCCCAATCTCTATGGATAAATCCTCAGCCCGTCTTTTCTTTCTTGCAGGGGCGAAGGATAAGGACAAGGTCTCCATAAAGAAGATCCTGGCTGACAAATCCTTGAGGAACAACAATGAGTACTACCAGGTGATTGTGGTGATGATAACATTGATGTTTCGCTCTAAGGGTGTCTACAACATCATCTTGTCCCTTTGCTCCTCCAGAAATGCATCGACTGGAACCGGGACATCCTCAAGGAAGAGCTGGGCCTGACGGAGGAAGACATCATCGACATCCCACAGCTCTTTGCTCCAAGCTACGCCACCAAAGCCGTTGCTTACTTCCCGGACATGGTAAGGACCTTCCAACCATGCCAGGTCTCTCCCATGTTTTGTATATGGAGACAGAAAGAACGTAAGAGCAGGGTTGAGGAGATGCACCAGTTTGCTTGGCCAGAGCCTACTGGGAAGAGTGAGATTGTGCTTCTGCCTGGGAGTCCAGTGGAGTCTCCTTCTCTGGAGAGCAGAGGCTGGATGATAGATTGGGGTTGGTTTGGATGGCTCATCCAACTCTGATCTATCTACCTGTTCATTCATCTATCCATCACCTATCCTATCTACCTATCTATCCTTCTATTTATCCATCCACACATTATCTGTCCTACCAACCTACCCATCCATCTACTTACCTGTCTACCTATCCACCTACCTACGCCTGCATGATAGATTGGAGTTGGTTTGGATGGCTCATCCAATTATGATCTATCTACCTGTTCATTCATCTATCCATCATATATCCTATCTACCTATCCTATTTATTTATCCATCCACCCATTATCTATCCTACTACCTACCCATCCATCTACCTACCCATCTATCTATCCACCTACCTACGCTTGCATGATAGTTTGGGGTTGGTTTGGATGGCTCATCCAACTCTGGTCTATCTACCTGTTCATTCATCTATCCATCATATATCCTATCTACATATCTATCCTTCTGTTTATCCATCTACCCATTATCAATCCTACCTACCTACCCATCTATCTACTTACCCATCCACCCATCCATCTACCTACACCTGCATGATAGAATGGGGTTGGTTTGGATGGCTCATCCAACACTACCTACCTGTTCATTCATCTATCCATCATAGATCCTATCTACCGATCTATCTTCTGTTTATCCATCCACCCATTATCTATCCTACCTACCTACCTATCCATCTACTTACCCATCCATCTATCCATCCACCCACCCACCTACTATGCCTGCATGATAGATTGGGGTTGGTTTGGATGGCTCATCCAACTCTGATCTACCTGTTCATTCATCTATCCATCATATATCCTATCTACCTATCTATCCACCCACCCATTATCTATCCTACCTACCTATCTACCCATCCATCTACTTACCCATCTACCCATCCACCCACCCACTTACCTACGCCTGCATGATAGATTGGGGTTGGTTTGGATGGCTCATCCAACTCTATCTACCTGTTCATTCATCTATCCATCATATATCCTATCTAACTACATGTCTGCCCATCCATCCATCCACTATCTATCCTACTTACCAACTTATCTGTCCATCCATCCATCCACTATCTATCCTACTTGCCTACTTATCTATCAATCAATCTATAAAATGGGGTTGGTTTGGATGACTCTTCCAATTGTGATATATTTATCTGTTCATTCATCTATCCATCATTTATCCATCCAGCCCTTATCTATCCTACCTACCTACCCATCCATCTACTTACCCATCTACCCATCCATCCATCCACCTACCTACCTACCTACGCCTGGGGTTGGTTCATCAATCCATCCTATATCCTATCTACCTGTATGTCACTCTATACATCTATTTATCCATCCATCCAACCAGCCATCTATCCTACCTACCCATCTATCCAACTATTCACCTACCATCTGTTGGGAGGGCCTTCTGTATTCCCACATGACAGAATGGCGTTGGGTTGGATGACCCTTCCAGCTCAGTGATTTCAAAAGTGGGGAGGCAGATGAGATAGCAGAGGATGAACTGAGTAAAGGAGCCTGTTGGGTCCTTCCTTGAGCTGAGAGTCCTCTACCTCTCCTTCCCATGTGTAGGTGAACATGCTGGTACTGGGGAAGCACCTGGCAGTGCCCAAGCCCTTTGGCCCGATCCTCCACGACCAGTGCTGCCTCGAAGAGGAGGTCCGCCGCCTCCTGGAGCCACTGGGCCTCTCCTGCACCTTCATCGATGATTTCCAACCATACCACCTCCGCTACGGGGAGATCCACTGTGGCACCAATGTCCGGCGCAAGGCCTTCACCTACAAGTGGTGGAACGTCAGCCCTTGAGGAGGCGGCGGCGGCGGCGGACGCTTCGTGTCGCTCGCCTGCTTCCCTTTGCACTTCCCAAATCTGAGGAACAACAACACACGAAGCCGACTCCACTGTGGACTTCCTTCATTCACACTCCCTGGTCCTAACGTCAGCTATGGAGGCCCACCAACACATTTCATGCCTGTGATGGACCCATTAAGATGATTTAACACGATTTTTGTTCCTGGGTTATATTTTTTTTGCTGCATAGTTTTTACAAACTGTCTGAATAAAGTCTAAAATTGATGAAACGTGGTTGTAATAATTATCTATCCATCATATAATAATCCATTAATAATAATAATAATCATCATCATCTATACACAATAAAAGTGAAAATATGTATGTGTGTATGTGGCTGGGGTGTCCATACGCAGACAAGCTTTTGCCTCCACAAAAAACTATAGCTCCCATCGCTCAGGAGACACCAAATGATGTTCCAATATCATTGCAGGTTATAGCAAGTGCCATGAACATGTCCAAGAGCCCTGCCAATGTCTTCTACCAACACCATATTGCCTGCCACCCAAGTGAAGGCCTTCATATGGCGGCCATTCCATCCTAGATGTTCTATTTTTCCTCCAGAATGGACATCTCAGGGTTCCTTTTTCTCTCAATTGGTGTGGAATTTGCATGACACCACCCACTGCCTCACCCTTAACCCTTTCTTACCTTTTCCTATGGCACACAGCAAACAAACAAAGTTGGAAGGCTCTAATTCAAAAGCATGCATTGGGGAACACAATAAAATTCCAACTGACAGTTTATTTCCCTCACGCCTCCTATCTTTCACACCACTGCTTTGATTTCTGTTTTTACATCTGAGTATGTGCTGTGTGCTTTGAGATCTCTCTCTCCTTGCAAACAGGAATTCATCAGCAATTGAACAAGAGTTTTGAGAATAATTCACCATGATTTATAGGCGTTGTAGTTCACCCACATCCAGAGAGCACTGTGAACCCAACCAAGGATGGACCTGGACCATACCTGCCACGAATGATGGGATTTGCAGTACTTTCACGCACTTCCTGAGACCACTGTGCCCCCCGACGAATAACGGACCTGGACCCAACAGGCCTGGTTTGGGGAGGACTGACTCACGATTCTGGGAATTGTAGTTCACCCACATTATTCTGAATTTTCGAAAGGGAATATTCATAAATAACAAAATCGAAGACTGGCTTTTTTCTAATAAGCATTGTAAATGATATTACCAAAACCCCACAACAAACTATGACTTTTTCAAATAACCCGGGCACTGCCGAGTACACAACTAGTAGTAAATAACAGGGTCTGAGCTACTTCTAGCACCCATCTTTTCTAAGGTTTCAATAGAGGGAAAATACACTACATTGCTGGTGACACACAAGCAGAAAGAGATCTCAAAGCACACACACATACTCTCCTGACACACAAGCAGAGAGAGACCTCTCCTATGATACTGTGAACCACCGCCTCCTCCTGAGAAAAATGTATAATCTTACAAAGGACGACCACCTCACGCGCCTCATAGGAAACCTGCTACAAAACAGGAGCTTTTTTGTTGAGTTCCAGGGCCAGAGAAGCAGATGGCAGAAACAGAAGAACGGCCTGCCTCAGGGGAGCGTGCTTGCTCCATCCATGTTCAACATCGACACAAATGACCAGCCACTGCCAGAAGGGACAGAGTTTCATCTATGCTGATGATTGTGCCATCACCGCTCAAGCAGGGAGCTTTGAGATGGTTGAACACAAGCGGAGAGAGACCTCAAAGTACACAGCACATACTCTCCTGACACACAAGCAGAGAGAGACCTCTCCTATGATACTGTGAACCACCGTCTTCTCCTGAGAAAAATGTATAATCTTACAAAGGACGACCACCTCACGCGCCTCATAGGAAACCTGCTACAAAACAGGAGCTTTTTTGTTGAGTTCCAGGGCCAGAGAAGCAGATGGCGAAACAGAAGAACGGCCTGCCTCAGGGGAGCGTGCTTGCTCCATCCATGTTCAACATCTACACAAATGACCAGCCACTGCCAGAAGGGACAGCGAGTTTCATCTATGCTGATGATCGTGCCATCACCGCTCAAGAAGGGAGCTTTGAGATGGTAGAACAGAAGTGGAGAGAGACCTCAAAGTACACAGCACATACTCTCCTGACACACAAGCAGAGAGAGACCTCAAAACACACAGCACATACTCTCCGGACACACAAGCGGAGAGAGATCTCAAAGCACACAGCACACTCTCTCCTGACACACAAGCGGAGAGAGACCTCAAAGCACACAGCACACTCTCCTGACACACAAGCAGAGAGAGACCTCAAAGCACACAGCACATACTCTCCTGACACACAAGCAGAGAGAGACCTCAAAGCACACAGCACACACTCTCCTGACACACAAGCAGAGAGTGATCTCAAAGCACACAGCTCACACTCACACAAGCGGAGAGAGACCTCAAAGCACACAGCACATACTTTCCTGACACACAAGCAGAGGGAGACCTCAAAGCACACAGCACATACTCTCCTGACACACAAGTAGAGAGAGACCTCAAAGCACACAGCACATACTCTCCTGACACACAAGCAGAGAGAGACCTCAAAGCACACAGCACATACTCTCCTGACACACAAGCAGAGAGAGACCTCAAAGCACACAGCACATACTCTCCTGACACACAAGCAGAGAGAGACCTCAAAGCACACAGCACGTACTCTCCTGACACACAAGCAGAGAGAGACCTCAAAGCACACAGCACACACTCTCCTGACACACAAGCAGAGAGTGATCTCAAAGCACACAGCTCACACTCACACAAGCGGAGAGAGACCTCAAAGCACACAGCACATACTCTCTGGACACACAAGCGGAGAGAGACCTCAAAGCACACAGCACATACTCTCCTGACACACAAGCGGAGAGAGACCACAAAACACACAGCACATACTCTCCTGACACACAAGCGGAGAGAGACCTCAAAGCACACAGCACGTACTCTCCTGACACACAAGCAGAGAGATCTCAAAGCACACAGCACATACTCAGAGGTAAAAACAGAAGTCAAAGCAAAGGCGTGAAAGATAGGAGGCGTGAGGGAAATAAACTGTCAGTTGGAATTTTGATGCGTTCCCCAATGCATGCTTTTGAATTAAAGCCTTCCAACTTTGCTTGTGAGGTAATTATTTTGCCAGAAAGCTGCAGATCCAGATACCAACACAATTCCATCGTTTATTTAAACCTTTTTATTTAGAGAAATATAAAAAAAGGAAACAGGAGGGGAGAAAGGAGGAGGAGTGCTAGGACTAGGCTAGGAGGAATCCGTCCCCGATTTTGCAGAAATCCAAAATTATTCCATTTTCGCAGAGAAAAGAAGCGACGGAGATCTGGAACGCCGGCCCCAAAAATGTGTCCAAATTAAGTTTCTTGGCTCCGGAAAAAACGCAAAGCGCACACTTTCTTTGGTGAAACAATGTAACCTTTTGTTATGTCCTTCCCGGCAAATAAATTATCCCCATTTAGGGCTTCTTTAAGGATCGGAATGAATTGGCAAATAGGTATGTTGGGAAGCGGGGCGACAAACGGCCGAAAACGGTAAAGAATATAAAAATGAAACAAAACCCGCACGGGTATAAACCTCGACCCAGACTTAAAAACAAAAAGAGAGCAAACAATAAAGCAATATACACAGCAATTCAGGCCCCTTCTAGATCCCCTTTAAACTATACCCAGCGTTCCCATATTAATGACTTTGGGAGTGTAAATATGGAACGAAATCAATGGTTTTGCCCATGCAACCGTAAGGGGAAAAAAATAGAGAAAAAGGGGAGAAAGAAGAGTTCTATCTTTTCAGAAAATGGGTTTGTTTATGTTCACAAGGCACCAAATTTCTCAAACGCGGCACAGAACGGATGCAAAGGATACTCGCCGGGGTTTTTGGAAGTCCGGGAAAATATTCTTCGAGACGACCAAAACAAAAGGAATTCGAGACCCAACAATTCCCAGGATACAGCAAAGTTCTGAACGTATTAAAAACACAAGGGATAGCTTGGCAGAAGGCCGTTGCAAAGGAATGGTATGGTCCGAAAATCCGATTCAGCAAACGACCAGGAAGGAAGGAACCGAAGCAAAATGCGCACCTTTCGACATGATAGGTCTACGCAAAAATAAAAACAGCGAGGAAACTTTGGGGAGTGAAACGAAATGTTAAAAACATGGCGTTATCAGCCGTTATTCCCAATAGACATAGGGAATAATTCCTGGGATGTAAACAAAGAAAGCCGTAATAAAAGATTTGGCTTCGTAAGATGTCGAAAACTTCGTAATATGCCAAAAACTTCTTAATATGCCGAAAACTTCATAATGTGTGCGGAATTTTTTTCGGATTTTCAGAAGGCAAAACATACATTCCGTGAAAGAAAAAATAAACCAAATTCTGAACCACTATTCCCAGTTGGTTTTGGTCTCAATGGATTTGGGATATAGATATACTGATGGTGTTGATTGATAAAGACACTAATAGATAAAGGTTTGGCTCCGGGAGGAGATACTCAAAGCTTTGGGGTGAAGAACAATTGGAACAGCATCCGTTTCTAAATGTTTGGAAGGCGGAATATAATACTTTTGGGCTCCGGTAATGAAGGGGAACCAAACGGAAAGTGTGACGGCTCCGGAAGGAAGCCTTTCTGAAAGAAGGAGAAATCGATCCCCGCGAAACAAAGCGCGGAATACAGAAGACAAGCACAAAAGTGTGCGCAAAGGAAACAAGGAGGAGGAGGAGCGGAAACTCGGAGCCACGTATAACGAAAAGAAACCGAAACCTGGGGCCATCTAGCGCAACGCGGGTGGGCGTAATCTCTGTCTGCGTCCCGGCGGACGGGTGGAAGAGGCAGCCGCCTCGTCCGGGATTTTGCGGAGGCGTTTTTGTTTTGCGGGTCTGTGTCAGAGAAGCGTGCGCGGGTTGTACTCGGGCAGCTTCTTGGCCCTTTCGCTCTCGGCTTCGCTCTCGTCGCGGGCGATGGCCAAGGAGTGCGCGTAGCCCATGGCCACCTGGGAGGAGGGAAGGGACACTCAGTCATAATAAATAAACAAATCTACATCTATATATATAAGAAGCTTAAGGGCGTAATTAGGCGGTCAAAAACGGAGAAACCACCGGACGAAATCTCACCAAATTTGGCCTGCTAATACCTCTTCCCCCAAGGTATGACCAACAACCCTCCAAACACCGATACGCAACAACACAAACTCACAATACCCTAAAAACACGGAGCATGCGCAGAGGCCTCGGGAGGAATACGATGAGGAGGAAGGACTCCATTTCCCAGCTTCCCCCTCGCCCAAGTCTCCCTCCGCATGCGCACTGCCGCCTGCCTCCCTTTCTCCGTTTTTGAGCGTCTAAGGACGTCCTGAAGATTTCTATATTATAATTATTCTATATATATTACTTATAAAAACAGTACAATTAAGGTCAGTCTGGATGCCCTGTATGGTCTATGTATGTTTTGGTATGCAGCTTTCCCTTGAGTCTATGTTTCTGGAGGTTGTCCCTTCACC